TGGGTCCAGATGTGGAATGGCATGGAAACCAGGGAATTCCTGGCACTCCATGCCTCTGGGTCAGTGCAGGTCCCAGCATGGAGGCACAGCGTGCCAAGAACTTCCCCCCTGCCTTACCTCTTTGCCATGACTTGTGCTAGCCCATGTTTCCCACAGATGCACAGGTCAGTGTGGGTCCCAGATTGGAGGCACAAGGTGCCAGGGATTCCTTGGTTCCTGCACCGCTCTGTGACTCCATGCTGCTCTGTGCCTTCACAAGTCAGTGTGGGGAATCCCTGTGCAAGGAGAATACATCCTCCATTGCCCGACATCAGTCAGGGACCGGATGCAGGACAGTGGGTGATGTGTGTCACCCAATAAAGCTGATCTGTGGGGGGACACATCCTGCCACAGCTGATCTGCTTCAGCTTCGCAGCATCTGTTTCTACCCCTTGTGTCAGGATGGTTTAGTCACAGCCTGGCCTGAAGCAGTTTTGCAATCCACCATTCATGCAAACACAATAGAAAGTACTTTATACTCATTCCACATCCAAAAATTGCAGAAGGGTCAAATTAATGAGCACAAGCCTGAGAAAGTTTTAATATTTTTTAAACCACAGAAGGAGGCAGGACCAGGTATAATATGCACAGTCATTAAAAAATAGATGTTGACAAAGTGGCAAAGAACTCTGTGTTACTGACAGATTGCCCATGTTTTTGGCAGTTATTCTGGCATATGATAAAAAAGGAGAAGTTACTATAGTGACAGACATGACTACATTATGCATCCTCTACTATACAGAGCAGATTTTGAAGAGATTTTCTTTTTATTATTTTAGCAATTTGTCATATTTCCATCTGAAGGAACCAAGGAGTTAAACTGACTCAAGTGAGAATTTTTCTTAAAAATTGATTTAGATGGATGTCCGATAAAGTAATAATAGATGACATTGTCATGAGAAACTGTAAACAAGGTCAAAGATCTTGTATGTTTTTTCTTAATTGGGAAATATAAAAGCTCTGTTTTCTAAAAGATACATTTTTAAGTGAGGGCACATTACAAATGCTCCTTAAGACCTCCAAAAGAATGGCATAGATTTCCCAGTTCTCAGTTCTAAATTATCATTTGCTGGATGGAGAATTTTAGTGCAGAAGATGATCCTAAAGAGTTCCAACACCCTTCAGTTCTTCCATTTCATTAATAAAATATGGAACAATTTTATTAAAACTGTCAGCGTGTATAATTCCTGATAAGAAGAGATTTTATGGATTGCTTTTTTCAGAACAAGGATTCCCAAAGATTAACACTGTGTCAGCCAAAGAGAGCAGAAGGAAGCGTGTCATAATGGCATCTGGAATTGGTACCAACATAAGTGTGATACATGGTGACCTGTTAAGGATTGGTATGTTGCCTGGGTTTATGTCTTGTTTTTAGAATGAAAGGTTTTGCTAGTAGCAGTGTTATTAAAAAGGAAGGGACAAGGTCAAGGGTGTCACACTGGTTTCCTACAACATGTTTGCTATCCTTGGCCCATTCTGCAGGCCCAGAGGTTTTAGAGGGAGGCAGCCAGAGAGAAAGATGGATTCTGAATTTTTAGTTAAGAATTTTTCAAAGCAGTTTTTGTGACTGCAAAGTTCATCCAAATGAAATGCCACTGAGCTGAGGTAGAGAAGTTTCTCTTTCAGCTCTGCTTGAAAATGATTAGGGATTGCCTTAGCTTCTAGGCCAGTTTTTTAATTTCTCCATCTAAACTAGTAATGTTATTTTCTATATATAGTGGTTTCTATAATGAGATATGTAGCAACTTGTATTGGCGCATGCACTCCCTTAAAAAAACACTACATTTGCGCAGCATAAAGGCTTGGGGTGAAATTATGGCTCCATTGAATGCAATGAGAATTTTATAATTGATTACATTTGGGCTAGAATTTCATCTTTGGTTCATAAAGAATATAATATAGATTCACTTAGTGACAGAAAACTAAAGAATTGTGACAAATATGCAGAAGACCCTGCATTTTAGCTTATATAATAGGTACTCCCTCTGAGGTACTCAAGACCAGTTTTGGTTGTACTTCCAAGTCTGTGAATTACTGTAATATATGTCCATTTCTTATCTGCGTTGGTAGAAACTTCCACACAACTGTGCACAAATAGAAAAAGTATATCCACTAAGGTTGGAAAGATACTAAAATGTCATCGATTTTCAGGTTGTCCAGTGCATCCTAATCACAGAAATCTGATTCGGTGGGTCTTCAGAGATCATCCAATTGAGGAAGCAAAGCATTTGGAATATAGAACTGTGGTTGGGGGACGTATCCTAGAGGTGAACACTGTCTCTGGTCAATTTGCTGGACAATACAGATGTTGGACTTCATCTAGTGTAAAACCATTGTCTGTTTGGGTAAATGTCAAGAAGGAAGGTTTGTTGAAAATTCTATGACAAATTCTTGAATTGTTATAATATTTAATGTTTTAAGAACTTTACAGCTTTGTTGCTTATTTTCACACACATAAAATAATCAGTGCCCAGTTCTATAAACACTAACACACATGCCTGACTTTATGCATGCAAATACACTATTTGAAGACAATAGGTTTTCTGTATTATATGAATACTCATTTCATGTATTTATTTTGCTATCAGTAGTCAAGAAGCTAGGAGAGTTCACTGACTTGCTGTGTTACACAGGTACTAAGTAAGACCAATCATATGACTTCCTGAAGTGGAAGTCTGTATGTTTTGTTATCAGGATGGTACTCTCCAACTCAAAACTGTCTTTAGAAATTAAAATGAATAACTAATGAATGTTAAATCATTTAAGAAGTATATGAAAATGAGTTACAATAATTGTAATTTATGAAAGGTAAAACTATTTAAAAGATACCTTATAATGACATCATAATTTATGATTTACAAGACTGATTTTTAACTTTATTTATTAATGAATCCAAGTAAAAAATTAACAGATCCAAGAAAGATGCATCCCCCAAAATATACATAAAGACCAGATAAAGATAAAGATACCAGTCAACCCATATCAATGTCCACAGAAGTCTTGTGCTCCTTTCTCCTCTACTCAGTCCCTGACAGCTTCCTAATGCCTCTCTTGATGTTAAGCTTTTGTATTTTTTCATCTTTATGTAATAATTCACCCCCAACTCTTCCCCAGAATGCTGCACAAAACAAATCCCACTATTCTTCACTCATCTCTACTCCCAAATCTCAGATTCATTGCAAATTCATTCCTAAGTGTTAGCTCATAGAACTTGTACTTCAGTATTCAAAAACATTTATCAAATGTTCAGATATGGAGGCAGGAAAAGATTATTTCTTAGCAAATTCCAAGAATATCTACCTGATTTCCAAGTGAGCATCTGTATGCCTTCTCCCCTGTAGAACACTTTCTTGATGGGGCATTTTTCCATTACTAAAAATTCCCAAACTTTTTTAAACCAGTCAAATACATATGATTTTCCTTGATATTTGCAATACATTACTCTGTATTTCCTATGGGTTGTACCAAGGGAACACTCAAATCCTATGTTAATGTTGTTCAGGCATCCAAATGAATCTTAATTTTTAATGGTGACCGACAAGGCCCTGATCCTGTATTTTAATATAACTGCACAGAGCCCTGTTTGCTTCAGTAGGCTACCTAGTGTAGGATTGGAGCTTAACACATTTATGTATTTATTAGAGAGCTACTTTACATATGCTCCAGCAGAAAAGTAACCCCCATCTGCAAACACTTTACTGTGACATAAGTTCTTAAAGTGCCATAGAATTCAATTATATAATAATACTGAGATTATTGTGTTTATCTCAGAGCGGTTTCAGCCATTTTCGAAAGGGTTTCTGTCACTGAACATCTGTTTTGTTACAGGTTTAAACCAGTTTCTGATCACTTAAACCGGTTTATGTGTAATGTCTGTCCCTAGCCCTTAGCATTCTCCTGATGAGGACTTACTGGGTGAGAATGTAAAAACTATTGAAGGGAGTTAGGTGCTGAACTCTCAGACTTTCAATGGGACCTGGGTATCTACATTTCTTAGCTGCTTTTACAGAAGGCCTTCTTTAAAGAAGTAGATAGAAGTGCACAGTGGATATATGGAGGGCACTGCTGTGCAGTGTCATCCTAGTTAAACAAACAATGAAGTCTCTCCCTTGCAGTTGCAGTCAGTAAATTTAACCATTTCTGCCTTGAAAAAGGCCCTTTTGTATTATTCTAAGAAACCCAGAAATAATAAGGAAACACTGAAAAACAATAAGTTAAATAATTCATTATGTGCCATAAGAGTGAGACTGTGGACACAGCTGGTAGCTATCAATTATTCTTGGTTATTACAGAAAAACATGACTCTTTCTGTGATCACATTAAAATCTGTCAACATTGCATAGTACTTCATCTTTTACCGAGTGTCAAAAAGGAGGGCAGGGAAATCGTTTGGAATTGGGACCAAATATAAAGGCAGTAATTGTTGGAGATGATCAGTCTTAATAAAGAGATTTCTTTTAAAAATAGTCCTTTTTCATCTTGCCAGATGCCTTAGTGACAAATTATTTATAGATAAAATGCCTTTTCTGTAGTTTTAGTACAGGCAGGATTCTCTTAAATCTTACAATTATGTGAAGTATCTGGTGTAGTGATGAGCTTTCTGCAGAATCAGCTCTTATAGAACAACAGGAAACATGGAAAGCATAATTTATCGTTTCCTTTTTTGATGCTTATTGTATAAGGAATGTTATTAAAGCACTTAAGTTGATCATCAGTTTCTACAGTGAGTAAAATTCTACCCCTCTCTGCACACATTGATCTCATTGACTCTTTGAGGAGTTATATGTATACATCTGAGGGCAGAATTTGGTCCTACATATTGGAGAGAAACTCAGCAAAACCAAATTCTGCTGCTGCTTATGATCTTTTATTACTTTATGAGATTGTTTTTCCCACACTATCTGGTTTACATGTAAACTGACATGGTGCATATACATTTGTTACAGTTGCTGTCTGTAATAGCCTCTCCCACTAAATCCTATTTGCATTTTCTTCTCCTATTAACAGGCTATAAATGGGAATATGCCGAGTGGAGCCCTTGCTCAGCTAGCTGTGGGAATTCAGGGGCCCACTTCAGAAAGCTGCAGTGTGTGAATTCAGATGAACAAAAAGTGAATGAATCATTGTGTGATGATCGTCAAAAGCCAGTGGTTAGTTATCAGTCCTGCAACATGTATGATTGCCCTGCCAGGTAAACCTTTCCCTTGCAAGGTAACCCTGTCCCTACCATATTTCCAAGTGTCTTAATATTCTCTTAAAATATCCTCATAAAACCCTGAATTTGTTTCCATTTGTTACACCATAATTTTGCAATACACTTTTTGTCTAGTCCCAAGTCCTACAGCAAAAAGAATTGTTATGGGGAAACTCTAGTACCTTGCTTCTCAGGAGACTGAATTAGACTATCCATGTTGACATACCCAGTCTTGTGGGGTCTTTGCACTCAGGGGTTAGGAGCAGAAGTTACACATAAATCTGTTTTAGTGATCAGAAACTGGTTTAAACCTGTAACAGAACATAAATTCAGTGCACATAAACCAGTTTCAAAATGGCCAAAACTGGTTTGAGATAAATTTGGTTGAATGTAGTATTAGACTTAACTGACTGAGTTCAAACTAGTTTATGCAATGTCTGTCCCAGACCCTGTCCTGGTTTAAGTTAAACCAGAGTTCCCCAGCATCCCAACATGCACTCTGGGCTGGGCTCTCTGCTCCAGTGGAGCAGGCATGGCCCTGCCCCTCTGCTCCCCAGCCCAAGCAGGGACAGGAAGGGGCGGGGGCCTGGCCAGACACTAGCTCCGGAAGGGAGTAGGGAAGAGGTTTATTTCCCCCTCTGTCCCCTATCCCATCAGCACAGATCTGTCAGGCATTTCTCCGCTCACCGCTCCAGCAGCAGGGGCATGGCCAGCCTCGGCAGTAGCCTGGAGTGAACTGGCAGGGAAGAGGTTTAATTCCCCACTCCCTGTCCCACCGGCATGGACCTGAGCTGGGGTCCACTTGCTGGCACTCCCCCCTCGCTGCTGCAGCAATGGGGGTATGGGCACAGCCAGATGCCAACTGGCAAGGCCCCTGAGGCAGAGGGAGCAGAGAGGGGGCATTATTTCCCCCCTCTGCCCCCTCTGCCTCTGGTGGACCGCAGCTGGGGTCTGCTAGCCCTGAACACCGCCACCGATCACTCCCTGCGTGGGGCAAGTGGCGGGATAAGCCCCCTCCTTCCCACTCTACCAGATGCCAGAGAGAGTGGGAAATAACCCCCCTCTCTGCCCCCTCGTCTAAGGGACCCTGCTGACCAGCCTCTGGCCATCTCCCCACCCCTGCTGCTGGAGCAGTGAGCAGGGAGCGACTGTAAAGGGGGCTGCAACCCTTTTATGGTTTCCCAGAGCATGAGCTTCTTCCTAGTGGGGGTCCACACTGCAGGGCAGTCAGAGCTGCCACAGAGTGCATGGGACAAGCAGCAGCGGTGGTGCTGGGGGGGACTTGGAGGACTATGGCCACCCCTTCGAGCCCCAGTGCCACTGCTCACCCCATGCAGTCGGCAGCAGCTCTGACGCCCCACTCCTGCTCCGACCCACATCATGGTGTGTGTCCCCCACCCTCCTGCCAGGAAGAGGCTCATGCTCCCCAAACACCGTGACTGGGGATGCTGCCCCCTTGCTGTTCCAGTGGCAGGGGTGGGAGTGCAGCCAGAGGCCAGCTGGCAGGGCCCCTTAGTCAAGGGGGCAGGGAGGGACATTATTCCCCCCTCCCTCCAGCATCTGGCTCAGGGAGTAGGAGGTGGCTTATCCTGCTGCTTGCCCTGCATAGGCAGCGATTGGCAGTGGCATTCGGGTCAGGCAGACCTTGGCTGCAGCCCCCTGGTGCAGAGGGGGTGGAGGGAAGAATAAACCCCCTCCCTGTCCCCTTTGCCAAAGGAGGCTATGCTGGCTGGCTTCTGACTGCACTCCCGCTCCTGTCCCCATCGCTGCAGCAGTGAGGGCGGAGTGCTGGGCAGACCCCAGCTTCGGTCCATGCTGGTGGGACAGGGAGCAGGGGATTAAACCCCTCCCTGGCCAGTTCACTCCAGGCTCCTGCCAGGGCTGGCCACATCCCGTCCTCAGCGCAGCTTCCCTGCAGCCAAGGGCTACTCTAGCACCTGCTCTGCACCCCCTCCCCCTGGAGCCTGGCCTGAGCCACTGCAGGCATGTGCCTGCATTTCTAGAGTTAACACTGAATGTCTATTCACTTGTAAATTTGTCCAGTCTAGGCAGGTTAGACTAACTTGCAAAAATTGAATCAATTCAGGCTCCAGCTTTTTGAATGAAATGTCCCTAGCCCTGCAGAACAAAGTTAGGGTGTATTCAGCAGCAGCAGTGGTACCAGAGAAGGCAGCATGTTCTGGCCATCTCATCTTTCTGCAGTGTCCCCCACCATAGTATCTCAGCCTTTCAAAAGGTGTTGTAGTTCTGTTCCTGGCCCACACACCACTGCCTTCTGGCTGAATCATCTACAGTTCCTTTAGGGATTATTCTTAGGATAAAAATATCTCTCTACCATGTACACAAATACCACAAGCTTTGGCTGTAAAATCTAAAAACTCATCTTCAATTTTACCACAGCTTGCAAAGGCCCTTCCAACCCATTAAGGTACTGCTCCAGGCCTTCAGCAAGAACACTCACCACCACTCTAAAAATAAGTATTTTGCATGTTTTACAGGGAAAGGGTATCTCCTGTTGTCAGCAGTGTAAAACCATAAGGGAGGAAAAACTCAGGCACATATTTTGGAATTGTCTGTCACTGGAAAATTTTAGAGGGAAGTGCTAAATCCTTAACTGACATTATGGCAGAGCAATTGCCAGTAGTCCTAAAGTCTGTATTCTTAACCGAAAAACACATAGCAACAGATAAATATCAGAAGAAATTTGTTTATATTTCATTATTAGCAGCCAAAAAACAGATCACTCTAAATTGTGAGTCTGAATGCAGGCCAGCCTGTAACAAGTGGATTTGCTGCCAATGGAAAAATACTAAAATAGAAATAATAGTCTGAAGGAGTTTGAAAAGCCTGGACTCGATTTCAGGTTCTCCTCTAAAATCAGGCCAATTGAAGCAGATGAAAGGAAGAAGGAAGTAATGAGAATACCTGGGGCACCAGTGCACCTCCAAACAATTAATGAACTCTGGCACGCACCTTCACAAACTGAATGCAACTGGACCCAGAGCCATTACAGCCAACCCAAACAGTTAATTCAGATGATAAAATATACCGAGACCTTAGTTCTTACTGACTGTAAACACTCACCAAAGTGCTCTACTTATTGTTATAATGGCCCTATAATTGTTTTGCACAGAATTATTAGAATTTTTCAATGCATAAATATACTTAGAATTATGCATTTGTTCACATGATTTGAAAGGTTTGTTTCCATGTCCGCCATATTTAGGTTTTGCTATCTTTAAATCAGTGTGTTAGACAGTAATGAAAATGTTTAAGATTATGTTTCCCTAATAAAATCTTTCTTGAAAAAACCCCTGTGTCTTTTATACCAAAAAGATACCGTGAATGTTCTGGAATGGGTCTTGCATAAGCCATTACTGACGGGAACAAACTCTTACTCCTTCCCATTGTCTCCAGTATGGTTGCTAACCTGTGAAGGGAAGTAGAATGTATTTGAATCTTCCACTCCCTAGGCCTGATTTCATAAAAAGCATTTAAGCATATGTTTAGTACATCTCTGTTCAGCAAAACATGCTAGTAAGCACCTACCTAAGCACATTCAATGGCTAATGTATGTGTTTTGCACATCCAATAAGTGCTTGCCAAATTGGAGTCTCACTGTATTTGGTAAAAATGTTGAACCAAATAATATAAAGACTAAAAGATGGGGGGAAAGAACAGATACCTGATTTTTAAAGGAATAATCCATCCAAAGTGGATAAATTACATGATCACAAAATCTCATTCATTGTAGAAGAGAATAGGATAGCGCTCGCATTGTCACAATTATATTACAAGAAATATTCTACTCTCTAGTTCAAGGCTAGATTTAGAAAAATATTAAGCAGAATAAGTTGTGTGACTTTTGTTCCCACTGAGTATATTCATGGTCAATACAAAGTGTTTGATTCAATCTTTTATAAAACAAGCTCTTTACTGTTATATACAGGTTATAGCTCCTGTTGAAACTAAACTCTAGTGAATAAAGTAAGTTTTCTTAAGATGTTTACATGATAAAATGAGTAATTGGGTCATGGTGGGTAAAGCACCAGGAGATGCATGCCCAGAGTCACATAAGCAATGTTAGAGCATGTGTGTACCCAAGCAAATCTTTGGAGTATTGGCAGCAGTATATTATGGTGGGCAATGACAGAAGGGAGGCAGAGTCAGTAGATGAGGGTATACCGCTGGATAGAACTGCTGCCACAATCCCTTTGGCTGGAGGCAATATTGCTGTTATCGTGGGTGGAAGTGTGTTGCTTTCCTGTACATAGAAAGGTTATTGGGTTGTCAGCAATAGAAGATTTGGAAACTAAATCCAGGGGACTCTCCATCAGTCACTTGGGGACCAGATCTGTGGGGCAGGGTCCCCACCAACATTTACAAAGGAAATTTAAGTGAATTGTGGCACCTGTTTACATTAAATGTATTTGGATTGTTACATGTCAGTTTACAATGTGACATGTGGAAGAGTGGATCTGCTTTCATTGCAGTCAGAATATCATAGACTCCTACTTGTTAAAGCCAGAAAAAGCCCATAATAATGATTTAGTCTGACATCTTGGATAACTTCATTCAGGAATTTCTGCATCCAAACAGTTTTTAACTTCAGCCTGAGCTAGCGCTTTTTTGTTAAAATGATGTATTTTAAAAATCATCCCTGGAAAACTTGGCTCAGAAGAAATGGTGCTTAGGAACTCAAATTACTGACTCATATTTTTCTCATACTAAAAAGATTTAGGCACCTTCCTAAAACCCACAGCTGAAATAATTAGCTCCTTCAATTTTTATTTGTAAAGAGTTTGCAGCAAGATTCCTTTGGGTTTGCATTGTTTTCTTATTTATTGTCCATGTGTTTATTTGACTTTTTCTAGGTGGGTGACTAGCTCATGGTCTGAGTGCTCTGCTTCATGTGGCAATGGATTTTATCAACGGCAAGTAACTTGTCGTCAAGCAAAAGCTAATGGCACTATACTGATGCTGCCACCAGATGCTTGTGTACAGAAAGATCGTCCTCTGGGAAGGAAACCATGTATAGTCCATTCATGTACGGAATGGATAATTCAGTCACAGGGACAGGTAATCTACTGGCTGAAACTTTTGATTGGTAACTCATTGTATTATCAAAACACAGCTGTGCTATTATATATCACAATCTGTAAATTTACATTTTAGCCTCCATACTAAGTAGTTCACCTATTACATGCAGATTTTGTAGGTGTTTCTTCATATTGTAATATGAGCTCTTCATTTTGCAGTGGAGGCCACAATCAATAGCAGTATTCAGTTGTGCTAGACACTGAACACAGGCACACTGGAAAAGCCCTAAATGGTGTAATTACTGTCACTGTTTGGTTTACTTCATCTATTAAAGGAAATACAGTTTGGTGGTGTACTGGGCAAGATAGTTGTAGGTTTTATCTGATAATAAGCGAGTCCTGAGGAGAAAACATAAACCAAGCTTTGAAACTCTGGCATTAGCTATACTTAGTTTTATCATTTAGTCCAGAGCTTTCCAAACTGTGTGCCACGACACATTAGTGTGTCGGCGGCAGTGTGTAGGTGTGTCGCGTGAAATGCAGAAAATTTTGCGGAAGGGCACCGCAGAGCTCCCTTACTCGCGTCTGCTTCCCTTGGCCCCTCCCCCGGAACTGAATTACTGTGTCACGAAATGATGCATGTCTAAAAAGTGTGTCACCAACATGAAAAGTTTGGAAAGCTCTGATTTAGTCCATTATTTTATATTTCTTTTTTCATGCTAGGACATTGCTTTTATTTCACTCTTACGAGAACAAATGTTGCATATCTATATGCAGCACTAGTAGTAGCTGTGAAATCCCCCAAAGTCAGGTATGTACATACACTTTAGTGACAGGTACCACTCCCCCCCCCCCCAGGCAGCTGTGGGGAGGGGATTGCGGGGCAGGGCTGGGGAGAGATCCCCTGCTGGCTCCCCACTCCCTGCAGCTGACAGCAGGCGGTTGGGGGCATTTGCCCAGTAGCCAGTTAGGCATGCGCTACTGATTGGCTGGGCTTGACTGCCTTTGTGCCTGTCTAGCATAATGGGAGGTGCATGTAAGCACCCCCAGCCTCCTGGCTTTGGCCAGTGCAGACATTCCTGTTTCCCGCCCCACTCATGGCAGAACGTGTGCTCTGTGAATTCCTGATCTAGTCTTCTCAGCTTAGAGACATTTGCAAAGTTTTGATTGATTCCACCTCAGGCTCCTTGCTTGTCTGTACTTAGCCCAAGTTACTACCCCAAAGAGCTTACCATCCATGTATAAGACAAGAGATGGGAACAAACTGGGGAAGCTCAAGGAAACAATGAAACTGTTGATCAATATGATAGCCCAGGGGTCGGCAGCCTCCAACACGTGTGGCACGTGGAGACATTTTTCCTGGCATGCCGGGAGGCATGCAAAAAATTGTTTACTTTTTTTTTTTTTTTAAGTTGCTGCTCTGGGCTCTCCCGTGCAGCCACAAGTCCCAGTGCTGTGCCAGGCACCAGTGCGGAACCAGGGGAACGCAGGCAGGGACACGCTACTGCCCGCGCCCCTTGCTCCCAGGCTGTACCCTCCAGCCTGGCTGGCCCCTGGAGGGAGCTGCGGGTGGACAGGGCTGGGACCAGGGCAGGCACTGTGCTGGGTCGCTGCCCTGGAGGCTTCCAGTGGGTGGCAGAGCCCTGGGCCCAGGAAGGCAGGCACCCTGTCCCCCCCAGGGCAGCACTGAGGTGCCGAGTGCTGGGGCTGGGCGCTTGGGACAGGGTCGGGCAGCATGGGGGGAGGTGCCGTGGGCATCCAGCCCAGTTGGGCCCTTAGGAAGGCAGGGGCTGGGCAGGAAGTGGGGGCTGCCCCGGGGCTCTGTGGGCTCGAGCTGTGGTGGGCGGGCAGGCAGGGGTGCCCAGTGGCACCTGTGGTGGGGCCTGGCCCAGCCCGCACAGCTCCTCTGGGATGGCCCCCAGCCACCCTGTGGACATGGGGATGCTGCCTGGCTGGGGCAGGACGCTGGGCTCGGGGGCTTCTCTCTCCAAGATCAGCCTCCCTGCACACTGGGCACAGTGCAAGCAGGACAGAGCCATCCCCAGTGCAAGGGCCGGGCCACGGGAGCCCCCTGGAGCCTAGGAACAGCCACCGTGGCTGCCCCAGCCTGCCCAGGCCCTGGTCTTGCCCACCCACACCTCCCCTCAAGGGACCAGGGCTGGGGCAGGCACCGCAAAGAGCTGCTGCGCTGCAGGCTCCTGGCTGGCTCGGCCCTGAGCACCAGCTGCAGTGGCTGTTCCCAGAGCCTGGGGAACAGTGTGTGGCTGCAGCTCCCACTCACAATGTACCCAGCATGCACAGAAACCAAGCAGGGAGCTCCCTGAGCCTGGTGTCCTGCCCCAGCCAGGCAGCATCCCTTTATAGGCAGGGGGGGTGCACCGCCACCCCTGCACGGGCCGGCTGAGCCCTACTTCCAGTGCTGCTGGGCCCCCCGCTGTGGCCTAAGTAGCGGAGCCCTGGGCCAGCCCCTGCTCCCTGCCTGACACCAGGTCTCCTCCAGCTGCAGCCTTCCCAAGGGCCTGGCCAGGCCAGCCTGCCCACGGTGACTCCCCTGGTGCCTGCTGCTCCCTGCTCCTCTCTCCCTCTCTTCCCCCTCTCATCACTGTCACAACCCAAAGGGTGTGATTTTTGTTTTTGTGTGTGCTTTGACACCACTGAAGTCTTTTCCCGCCAAATTGTAGCTTTCTTTGCAGGGTGCATTTCTTGTTGCAGCACAGAAATGCTCGTTGCAAAGAGTTCCTGCCATTTGTATTCTAATTCGAGTCCCATTATTGGCTTGCCTTAAATTATTCACACATGGTGGCTAGTGATTGGCTTGCTAGCCGTATAAAAGGCTTGGGTGGTTTCTGCCCAAGTTGGAGAACTCCGAGGAGAACCCCCGTAAGGGAGGACTCCACGAACACCAGGAGGAGGAGACCTCATGCTGTGTGAAGATCTCCAAGCGCTGCGGAGCCTATTGGACCCAGTGCATTTCAAGCAGGCAACAGGGGTCTGATCAGCCTCTAGCCTCTCCCCATCAC